AATATTTTAATGTGGCAAGTTTTGTTCGCACATATACGCATACGCGGTGTGTCCCAAAAATAACCGCACTCTATATAAAATACAACATGTATGGTCATTGAAGTCTTATGCGTCGAACACTCTCAGAGATGAAGTATTTTCATCCATTCGAACGACATGACCTAGGCAGCGTAGTTGCAAGGGAACATAAATCTTCCGCAGAACCTTTCTCTCGAAAACTCGCAACGTCGACTCATCATATGTTGTCAACGCCCCTGACTCTGCACCATATAGCAAAACGGGAATAATGAATGACTTATAGAGTTTGGTCTGGACTTTGTCGAGAGAGGACTTTACTTTTCAAGTGCCTACTCAGTCCAAAGTAGCACCTGTTGGCATGAGTTACTATGCATTGTTGTTGGTGTTTATACTGGTTCCAAGATAGACATAATTGTCTACGACTTCAAAGTTATGAATGAAGTGACTTGGGATCCAAGTCGCGAGAGAAGGCAGAACTAACGGCGCGGTTGCTGAGGCTAATGATAGCATTATCTTCGGCGTATGCCAGCAGCTTTACACTCTTCTAGAAGATTTGAAGATGTTGTTTACACTTATAAATGTTTGTGAGAATTTAAATGACGATAAAAGGTGGCGAGGTCGCCCAAAAGCTTGTAAGCAGAATTTGTGGAAAAAGTCCGTGAATCATTAGTTTATATTTTAATTTTACTACCCGAATGTCGGGTGAGCGCTTAAATACGGGTCAGAATTTATTTGTCGGTTTGTTAACTGAAGATTTGGGTAAACTAGAATGCGTTTTGTTCCATATGAGTTAAATAAAGAGCAGAAAAGTTAACAGATTTTGCTTAAAAACGGATTTCTCTCACCAATCAACCACCTACTACGTCTGATCTATCACCACATGGCATTACTCCATTTTCAAAACTCAAAATAAACATAAAAGGAAAAACCGTTAATGACGATATATGTATTAGTCAAGCAAATAGCCTCGGTAAATGAGTTGTTGAGAAATATCGATAAAGAATACATAAAATACTTATGCTTGCGGTGGTTGATCGTTTCAATCATAGTATTGTGTCTAATGATATCTATATTAAATAGTAGTGGTGAAACCAAAGTTTCTTCTCTCCAAAATATGTTTCATATTAATGTTACTTCGTAAAGTAGTCGGAATTGAATCACTCATTTAGGGAAGGAAGAGATTTGTTAGTTTGGGTGGTTTTGACGCCCAAAATTACGCCCCTCTCCACAGTGGGTAGGCCACTGTAGAAGAAATAATATTTTTCAACGTTAATACATTTGAGATTGTGTATGTGACTTCTTTATCCAAAAAGTGCGGTTATTTTTGTAACACGGCGTGTATATATTCGCATAATTGCTCTCAGCTTAGTTTTAGTGTTAACAATTAGCTTAGTAACTATTTAATATTTAATATTGAAAACACACTGTAGTAAACCACAACAACAACAACAGAGCCACAACAAGTAACGAATTTAATTTGATTTCTATCTTGTTTTTTCATTTCGTTTACTTTTTCGCATATGTAACTCTCGTAACTCTCGTGGTGAACTGCCGAAATGTGCATTGCAACATTTTAGCGATTGTACACCGAGACCTGTCGCAATTTGGTATGGGACACACAGCATAATTTATTATCAATATTTGAATTATATAGCAAAATGCAAAAAGCAAAAACAAAACTAATTAATATATATAATTTAACAGCTGCTAGTGCAAATGCAAAGCTCGTTCTACTACTTGTATGCTAGTTTTCCGTTTAATTACACTTTTCAGTTTGCGTTACTGTGTCGATTTCCGTTTCCGTTTGCGTTGCCGTTGAGTTTGTCTACTGTCTTGATTTAATTTGGGCGTTGATTTGTCGGTGTTGCATTATCTTTTGTTTAACGTATATTTTTTGTGCTGCTTCTGCGCGTACATACAAACATGCATACGTGTGGGTGTGTCGTTTTTTTTTTTTGTTTTTGTGCTACCATTTACTAACACTTTCGTGCTTTCTTATAAAAAAACTCGTTTCACTTGCCTATCTATCACCTCTAAGTCTCTATATATCATGCCTTCCTTGCTGAAGTGGCGCTCTTTGCTTGCACTTGGTTCAAAATTGTTTTATCTTTTCGCTTTTATGCATTTTCCACCTTTAAACTTGCAAAAAACGAAACTGGCATGACTTTTCATCTATTTTCGGTTTTTGTTTTTTTTTATTTTCATTGCGTTAGTTATGTAAACACACACACATGTTATTTGGCAACAAGGAAAGGACTAAAGTTTTGTTGTCTATTACTAAAATTGTTTGTGCAATATTATACTTCTTTGATTGGCTGAAATTTGTTGTGAAAAATTAGTTAAGGAAAAAAAGAAAAAAAAACATTTTACATTTCATCTAAACTCAATTGCAAGAGTAACGAAATACTTTTAATTATAACTTCTTTTCTCTTTTTGAAATGCTGCCATAAAAATGTGAATATTTTATTTCTCTCTCTCGTCCCTGCTCTGCCTAACGCCTAAATCTGCTGACGAATAATACCCTGCGCCCCGTGGAATATAATATTCTTTAATTATCTTATTGTTAAAATTTATTTCCAATTTTTTAAAATATTTTTTATGTTGTTTCATAAACCGTTTTTGCGCTACATGAACCTGGGAACCCTAAACTACCGCGCTAAATTAAAATTTTTATTATTATCCCATTTTATATTAAAATATTTTGCTTTGAACTTTTTTACCTTATAAATACCTGTTATATAACCTTTATATATCCATACTTTAAAACACTTCTTCTTGTGTTTTTGTCATGATCTCTTTTGTTTTTGACTTTATTTACCTTATATATACCCGTTATATATCCATTATGTACCTGTTATTTATAACGATTTTTTTTTGTTTTTTTTTTTTGAGAAAAACCCTTTTATGCTTTTCTTAAAACTGAAAATCCCAAACTACCGCGCCAAATTAAAATTATTGTTATTATGCAATTTTTTCTGAAATATCTTCCTTTGTACTTTATTTACGTTATGAATACCCGTTTTATACCCGTTATATACCCAATATTTATAATTCATAAAACCCATTACTCATTTGCCTGCGCTCAATAGGGCGAAAAATCGCCTGGCCACAGAGCAGTCGCTATGGGTGTTTACCCCATACACAATCTAAAGAGTCTAGTTTGCTCCGGTGAAGATGTAAGTGTGATTTTTGTGTTAACAAAAACTGCAGATTTATATACCTAGTACATGTATATTTGTTAAAAAATAGAGTGAACGCATTTTTAAACTCACTTATTTCATGGATAATCTCAATGTTATCGAACTGCACTTTTGCTTAGTGTTGTTTCCGTTTTTTTTTTTTAATAAATATTTTGTATATTTGTTCTGGTTGTTTATAGCGTGGATCATTGTTGATTAATGAAAGACTTTGTAACTTAATTTTTTGGCACGAATATATTTGAATTTACAATGTTTTGCAATGTAAACATACAACATACAAAATAAACTTTAAGTATTCGAGATTCAATACAAACACAAATCACACTAGCACCATCTGGTGAACCGCATTTCCTTTTTTTAAATCACAATATACCAAAAATAATACCAAAAAACACAATATTAAATATTGCAAGGGTTTTGCAAGTACATATTGAACATTCGTGCTTTCGATAGTCGGTTAAAGACGAATTTATCCGAGTCAAGATCTCCGAATGCTTTTTGAACATTGTCGTGTTGAAGACTTATCCATCAGCTGCGGTTGGTTTCCATGATTTCTTGAAAGAAAAAGGGTAACCAGCGGATTAGCCGAAGTTTTTCTCAATTGGTATCAGTAATCATAGTTTTACAAGTATATTATTGTATAATTTTCTAGAAAACACATACATTATACATAACTATGATAAATTGTTAGCACTGAAGTAGAAAAAATGTCAAGTTAGTCAATACAGCTTTTTGCACGGTCCGAAAGCATGTCGTACGAGTTTTTTAGCTCGTTGGCCGATATGACTGCCAGTATGCCGGTACAAGCCTTTTGAATAGCTCTAACGCTTTCCTTTCATGGGCAAATGCATTTTTTCCGAAAAGGAAGAAGTCGCACGGTGCCATATCAGGCGAATACGGTTAGTGGTTAATGGTTAAAATGTGATTTTTGGCAAATAATCGTCCTTCGAATGTTGGATTCTAAGCAATTTTTGGTCGTCGGCAGATTTGTGTGGAACAAACGGTGCACACACCCTTCGTAAGCAAAAATGTTCCGTCAAAATGCATAAATCGATGTTTTAGATACGTTCAATTCCACTTCCATGAATTTCATTGACAATTTCGGCTGATTTTTGATGAACTCACGCACAGTTTCGATGGAATTTCCGGTGATCCCGGATTTTGTTTGGCCCACATGTTGATGAGCTCACGACCACTTTGAAAACATTGAAACCACTTGTGCACTCTGCTACGGGCAATCATCAGCATAAACTTGTTTTATCCCTTGAAGCGTCTCAGTAAAAGTTTTACCAATTTTAAAACAAAGTTTAATGCTGGCTCTTTGTTCGAAGCTCATTTTCGCTTCGCAATAACTTCACTTCCAATCAAATGAATGCCATAAAATTCTCACTGGACAATCAATAAGAATAGCAGATTCTAACGGACCAGTACTTTCAAAACCCAACTTAAAGCAATAAACATTCAAGAGAAAAATCACACAAACATCAACAGCTTAAGAGAGTTAATACAAAGCTATTGATGACCACAGCAAGTCTCTTTAATTTGCAGAATGTCCCGCAGAAATACATGTAAAACTCGTATATACCATACACATATGTAAGCCCATAAACTTTGGAAGAAATTCACAAAAAAAAAAAATTAAAATGTACATGTGTAAATATTGTTTATCTTTTGGAGATCCAGCTCCCTTTTTGAGTTTTTTTTTGTGGAACTTTTTTTTGTCGTTTTTGTTCTTGGAAACAGCTTAAATGTTTTGAAACTAGTTTAGATTTGTTGGTGCTTGTACAAAGCTTATGACCACATTTATTCGTTCAGAAGGTCTGTAAAGTAGTTCCATTTTTTGTTATGCAAACTCACTTGTGACCTCAATATCTTCGACTTATTCGTGATATCGGGAAAATAATTATTTTATCTAAAAGCATTCCAATGTCTACCGAGTTTTCAAAACTTTTTTCATAGTTGTTAATTTAAAGATTTAATAAATTTTCTTCTTAAAGAAATTATAAATTAATTTCTATAAATTAATTCATATCGGTTAATAAATTAATATCGACGAACAAAGTCATATCAATATATGAATTCATATGAATAAATTATTAACGGTAAATAAATTTATATCGGAGAATAAATTGATGTCGATAATAATCGATAATCGATAAATGTGTTCACATCGATAAATAAATTAATATTGATGAACAACGTAATTTCGTTATATAACTTAAATTCGTTAAATGAATTCATAACGATAAATTATTTGTTATCGGTAAATAAATATCGATAACTAAATTTATATCGATAAATAAATAAATATCGATGAATGAAGTTTTTCGATAAATAACTAAATTTTGATAAATTAATTAAAATGTTGAGTAAAATAATAACGATAAATGTATTCATATCGATAAATGACTTAATATCAATAAAAAATATATATTGACGAATCAAGTAAAATCGATAAATTAAGTAAATTGTTATCATAAATAATATAATATCGATTAGTCTTCATACCTTTACAGGCATAATTTTTATAAAAAGGATCCGTAATAGAGTTGACTTCATATGTTCCAATAGTAGTAGTAATAACTTAACGTACTTCCTGTAGTATGAGCTTTTTAAAATACCTTCTGTGTTTACTTCCTCGTTTACTTGCTCTTAAAAGTTGCACGGCGTTGTTGAGTTTTCGATGCCATAAGTTTAAGATTTTCTTACTAAATCTTAACTTGCCATTATGTAAGTTTTAAAAAAAAGTTACCTGAAATGCTAGAAGATAAGGAATTATAAAGGGGGATCGATTTCGAGGTTCCCGACTTTTCTTAAAGAAAAAAAAAAAAAACACAGAAACTTCAAATTAAATGGGGAATGTTTATTATCTTCTGAGAGAACATTCTTTCGCATTTATTTCTGCTCATCGAAGTGTTTTCTCAATAAATCTTTTGATTGATGCGATGTACGGGAAGTGTGGCCGTCTTGTTGAAACCAAATGTCGCCGAGATCACGAGCTTCAATTTCAGGCATTAAATAGTCGGTTATCATGATGCGATAATGGTCGCCATTGACGGTTGCGTTCTCAGGCATCATTTTTAAAAAAATGTGGATCGATGATTCCACCGGTGCACAAACCACATAACCGCGGTTTTTTCTAAATGAAATGGCAGCACTTGAATCTTTTCAGGTTGCTCTTCGTTCCAAATGTGACCATGGACGTGGTATGTTCGGCGGTCGAATACTAACTATTTGGATCACCCGTTATATATTTTATAGAATCTTCGACATTTCTTTCTGGTTGTTCCAAACTTCCCGACAAACTTGATACACCCTATGTAGGGTATAAAAATTAGTACAAGCTTTAATGATAAACAATAAATAATAGCAATGACAGTTCTGAAAACCGAATGACATACATATTTCCATTTAGGGCGCACTTACTTTAAATTATTAGAGGAATTATACGCCAATTTGTTTAATTATTTTTACATTAATAACCTTTGTTGTTTGTGCATTGTTTTATATGTATGCGAGCGTATGTGTATTTCATTTGTTTCAATTAATACTTAGAATGCTAAAACGCTTTATTTTGCATTTTTATTTATTTATATATAAATTTTTTTTTAGTATTTAAACAAGTCGTTGTAGACAAAAGACTAATAAGCGTTTTTCATCAACAGCTCTTTACACTCTGGTCATGGCTGCCCGTCAGGATAACAATGTATCAGCCGGTACTGCTTTACACCACAGAGGAACACGGTTGCTCGCTGACCACCTTCTATGTGCGCGTCGAGCAACACGAGCCCACGCTCATGATGATCAAAACGTGCAACAATGAGGTAATACATAACTAGTTTTTTATTAAAGGAAAAATCTTAAATTTCTACACTATTTGCAGGTATTTGGCGCCTACTGCTCAACTCGTTGGTTCGAACGCAATGTCAAAGATGACAAAGGCCAGCGTCAGGCTTACTTTGGCACTGGCGAGACCTTCCTCTTCTCACTCTATCCGGAGCGCGCCAAGTACCCGTGGGTCGGTATTGAGAATGAGAAGGATTTGGGACATGCGTCTGAACTTTTCATGGCAGCCGATTCGAAAATGATAACCATCGGTGGCGGGTAATTATATAACTTATAAATATATATGTATATTGCTTTTAAATGTTAATGTTACCTCTTTTCGACCTACAGTGAAGGCCAAGCCATTTGGATGGACGAGAACATACGATTTGGCAAAACAGACAGTTGTAAGACCTTCAACAATCCGCCGCTCTGTCCCTCCGGTGATTTTGAAATACGTGTACTAGAAGTGTACGGCTTTGATGGCATATAAGTGGTGTATGTACGTACAAAACATATGCAACAAACACACACACACAGACACTGAACCAAAAAATAATCGTACACACCTAGCCGCAAATCCGCAATGTATGTGCCACTTTTGTTGCAAATTATTTGCTGATCGCAATGACTCAATCCAGGCGTTATAAAGCGATTACTCTATGTTCTTTTGTAATTTTGTTTTTGAAAGGCAATGAGAGACCGCTGATCGGGTCTTCTTGAATGTTGTTTGGCAAAAAAAAAAAAAAAACAAACAGGGGGACATGAAAACAGAACGAAATATTGTAAGCGCGCAACACGAAGCACGATGTGAGCTCGATTCGCCTACAATTCAATGCAGTGAAAATTTTAAATCTAAAACGAAAATATTTCATTCGAAATTGCCCGCCGAGAATGTCTTCTTTTGCGTGATGAGGATAATGCTGACGATGATGATGGCGTTGCTGATTAGTTACTTGATGCTAATCAGCTGTTTTGTGGAACAGCATAGGTAGAGTGAGTTGTTCAAGGCGCAGTATTTTACGTATACATATATTATTACATATACCTATACATATAACTTATACATTAAACAAGTAATTCTCGTGGCTGGATTGCCAACGCGCTATTTGATGAGTGTTAGTAGTAAACAGAAATTAATAGTAATACACATATACATATATATATATACCTATATAGCTGTAGTAACAATAGCTGATATACAAATATATAATACATGTTGTTGTAAAACGAAGCAGCAAAACAAAGAAATACTCGGTGAATGAAATCAATGCAAACAGTAAAATACTTTTCTTATAAAAAAGTAAAAATAAATAAACAAGAAATGAGTAGCGCTTGGCGTTGACAAACCATAAACAATAAATTCGCATAAACATTGCACTCGTTTGAAAAAGTTAATTGCGCGCCTTGTGCTTGTACGAGAAAATATGAAAATGTGAGACACGTGCTTCTGCAGTTGACGTTAATTTTGAAAATAAGTAATTTTTAAGTTGCCACCTCTGGGCAAAAACTTGTTTGCTTTACCAATTTGTTAACAAATAATGTTTTTTATTGCTTCAAAGCCATTTGGTGGGTGAAATATACCATGTTGTAGTTCTGCCTAATTGTCTAAGCACAGCTTGCATTTGACAAATGAAATTAGCACACATTTTGTGAAGCTCAGCTGATTGTAGTAAAGTTTATTGCAAAAATATGTTGTGACACAACAATGCGTAAATTAACGGCTTCAGCTGAAAAATGACAATTACAAACAGCTGAAAATTAACATTTGTTTGTGAATGCAGGGTTGCAAATTTTTAATTCAAATATTTTGGATTATAAATTAATATAATTTAGATGTGTATAAGAGACAGTATATATACATTTTCATTTTTTAATTCCGATTTTGAGATTGAAAAGAATTAAAAATTAGAAATAAATACTGCTATTATGAAAACAGACAAATTACAATTTTAATTTCAAAAATTTTTCCAAATCATTAAGGAAGAAAAAAAAATATAAATAAGTTTCTAAACCCAATTTTTACGCGTGTTTTTGATAATATTTCTTTGAAGCCGGAAAAAAATTACTTTCAAATTTTTAATTCCTTTATTTTTTTTTTTACAAAAAAAGAAAAATTCAACTAATTTCAAAATATTTTTTTATTAAAATTTTTAAGATAAAAAAAGTTAATTCAAAATTTAATTCATTATTATTGTTTTTAATGTCTTATTTGCAACCCTGTCCTTACCTTGCTGAATTGGTAAAAGGGCAAAAATTAGTTTCAACTGCATATGCTTTACTTCGAAACACATTATTTCTGGCAGCTTTTCATTGAGCGATATCAAGGTTTGACAATCAGCGTGATATAATATTAATTTTCTGTAAAAAGTAATTATGAAAACAGCAAAACCGACGTTTTGCGATGCTCAACCGTAGAAATTCTTACGAAATTTAGTGAGCACTCTCTACGCCTAGTTAGCATAACTAACGTTAACAAATTTCAACTTAGATATGTATGCATAAATGTTTATATATTTAGGAAAAAAAAACAAAACACTCAATTTTATTGAAGGATATGAAAAACGTCCGACTGATTTTGCTATAACTGCTATTGTAACCCTCTCTTAAGTTTATTATTATTATGTAACATTATTACATTATATAATAATTATTGCTATCGTCACTATTACTACAAACACAACAGTTATTGTTATTATTATTATAATTATTATTGTTGTATACAAGCGTTTTTAAACATTGGAGGAATTGTATAGCCGCAACTGAAGAATTGTATTGTTATTGGTTGAGATCACATGTTCACTGTGTTGTTAAAGGAATTTCCGTTATTTTATTTTTTAAGTTACCTACGTATGTATGTCATTCGTTCTTGTGATTACTTGTAAAATGTGACAAGATTGCAATGTTGATTACTTTTATGAACTCGCATTCAATTATGATGAACTGCTCAATTTTTTCGAGCGCACTAACAAATTATAACAGCACATGCAAATGCATATGCGTGTGTAATAGTAACTTTTTATTTCACAAGTTGTTGTTGTTTTGCAAACGTCTGCTGAAGTTTTGGATTTTGTCTTGAAAAAACAATATAAAATAAATATTATTATTACTTTTCCTACGTAAATGGCATGACATTTCTTAATATTTTGCCTTAAGCAATAAAACTATAACCTTGAGAATATGATATTCTATTATAAAATTTTCCGCTCTACAAAAACGCTCCGGTTGGTTTTTCCATAAAATCATTGCTTTAATAGTTGTACGCCGTTAAAGTTATGCCTCAAATGTACTGAGCATCCATACAAGTGTTTTATGCCTGTTATGTTGCTCATACGACATGGCGTACTATTTACTATAAATTTGATGCATAACTTAACCAGCATATAACTCCTAAAAGAAAAGTTTTATGAAAAAAATTATTCAGGCCTTTTTTGTAGCGCGGAAAATTTTGTATGAGAATATGACTGTTTCAAAGTTGTAGGTTTATTTGTTTTGGAGTTAAAAAACTTATTGCAAAATATTAAGAAATGCCATGTAAAACATATGGGAGAAGTAAAGTGATTAAGACACGATTTAAATTGAAAATAAAGCACTTTTACATTGTATTATTTTCTTTAGAAGCTTTTTTTTTTTCTTTAGAAGTTTAGAAGCTGAGATTGCGCAGGGCGTTTGCAAAAAAATATTAACTTTCGAAATAATAAGCACCATGGCGTATATACATTTATATGCATGAAAGCTGAAATGCAAAACGAAAAAAAAAAAAATTTTTATATATATGTTATACAACTTGTAAAATTAAACATCAATATACATAATGAATATTTATTTATGCATATTTACGAAACAACTTGCACTAACTAACAAATAACGCGTACTAACTTTAAATACAGCAAACGAGAATCATTAATTATTAGCATAGTAGACGCAGAAAGAAAATATACTGCATTGATAAGTATAAACAAATGTTTTTGCTAGTTTACTAAGTGTTTAAGAGATTTACTTTATAGAGTTATAACAATTAGCTACATATAAACAAAAGTATATATATAGTATATAGTATACACATATAATCATAAAGGTGTTTATACAGTTGCATAAAACGAGGAATAAAACAGAATAAACAAAAGCCAACACAAGCCAAACGGCAGCAAAAAACAAAAAAAAAAAAAAGCTAAATACCCAAAAACGCAAAAGATAATAAATGAAGTAATGAAGAAGTAAAGTGTATGGCTAAGAAAACACCAAAATTCGCATGGTAATGGTCAGTACAGTTGCGCCGCATTGCTCTGTAAAGTTGATATACATTTATACATACATACATATATAAAGCTGTAATGTTAATTTGTATTGTAATGCCAAGAACAGGCATGTTTTTGTAAAAGTAATTGATTTTCAATTAGAGAATTAGTTAGAAGCCGTTACTTTTTACTCATACTTTTTGTTTATGTTTTTGTTTTAGTTTTTCATATATGCTTTGTAAATAATTGCACATAATACATAATTGATCTCATTTCATTACATTTAATTGCTAATTTAAAAATTTAATTAATTAATATAAAATTGAATTAATTGCAGCACATAAACTGTTGTTAATAAAAAATAAGAAGCGTTGCTTAAGCTTCTTCTTACTAATAGAGCTAAATATGACTAGACGATTTACGCATAGTATTTATTGTTATTTGTATTTTTTTAGGAGTTAATGTGGCGCAAATGTGGCCGCTTGAAATGTATTATTCAAAACTATTACGAAATAAATATATAAACACAAGCGTGTAATACAAATTGTACACAAGAATTTTTGACGATTTCATGTTTTTCATTTTCATTTTGTTATACAATTTGCAATACAATTGTGGCATTAAGCGTGCTGACTGAGCTGCCGCTTAAGCAGTTGGGTAGCGGTGGACTTGCAGACATAGTATGGAAGCAAAATTTGAAAATAAACAAAAAGAGTGCAAACAAGCGATGAATCCTAACTTTTAGCAAATTCTTCATTAAGCTACACGAGTTGATCAGGTCAAATCTTGTGTTGTGTGCAAAAATCGATTAGTTTTTATTCCTCAATTTCAATGAGTACAAATGTGGCTGTATTTTCAGTTGTTTTGCGCGTTAAATGCTGTGTGGCAAATTATATTAAATAAGAAGGCAGCAAAAAGTTGTTTTCTGATGTGAATTTTGGAACATATTGAATAATCCTGTATAGATAAAATGGCTTTGGGACACATTAATTGCGCACAGAGCTGCATGATGGCAAAGTGATCTTTATTATTGACTGTTAAAAGCTTGTCTTTGACACATTGTGCTTGTGTGGTACATTAAATTTAATAAAAATAAATTAACTATTTAGTAACTATAATTAAAATAATTTATTTTTTATGGAAGTGGTCGTCTAAAATATATGAATTCTCTTAAAGAAAAAGACATTCCATTGAGCAACAAACCAATACTTGTTTTTAAGCGTTCTAAAATTTTTTTTATTGAGTTGATACTATTTTACACGTTTGTATTTAAAGTCATATGAAAATAATTTCGAAATTTTCAAATATAAGCTTAATTGAAAGAGTTGACCGCAGTGTTGCGCATTTTGTAATTGAAATTTTAATTTTTTATCAAAAATTGAAAAATTTATGTTAATTAAAAGATTTTAGGTTTGCAAATCTAATTTCATATCCAACATGTTGGGTTTAAAATTCAAATATTTAATTATGAACTAATTTTCAGTATTTAATTTTAATTTAAGTATATACTTAAAGAAAATAATTTCCATGTTTTATTTCTTAATTAAATTAAATTAAAAATTTTTAATATTTGTATTGTACAATAAC